ACTGAATTGCAAATCAACAACGACAGAGACAACGCCTTAGGGTGATATTGTTGTTTTATATTGGGTTAACGAAATTTATTTTACAGGTGTTATTTTAAAAAAATGACAAAAAGCAGGAAATGCAAAAAATCAAAAGCTGAGTTTTCATTTTTTCTAAGTATCCTGAAAGGAAAAAAATTAATAGATTGTACATGTATACTGTTTAACGTCCCTCTCCAGAATGTTTCACTGATACGGAGACGTCACCATTGCCGGTGAAGGGCTGCACATTTAGGCCTATGCTCGGCATTCAAGGCCTTTTAGCAGGGAGGGATCTTCGCCTCGGTCAATATAAATATTTATCTGGTGAATAACAAACCATATTCAACACCAAAAGAGTCCATAATTGTATATTATTTTAATTTCGCTATGTTCGCGATTCATCATTTTTCCGCGAAATTAAACCATCGTGAATTCTATTACTAGTTCTTTTAAATGTTTATTTTCTAATAAAAAAAAATGAATTAATTTCTTGCAGCGTTAAATTAAAATAATCCGAATTGGTATTTTTTGAGATATCATGAAATATTAACACCGTGAATTAAAACGACTTTCAGTTTTAGACTCACTTTTATTCAACACGTTCAAAAATTGTATTTGATTTTCAGTCATTATTCATTATTGAATGACTAAAAATCCTTAAAAAAGAAATTTGACAATTCTCATTTTCAACATTCCCTCCCTTTGTTATTTTATTAAGTTCCTTTCTGCATATATCTCTCTTGTATCGATACAAGAAAACCTTTCGAAAGAAAAGTGCCCTAACAGGGAAAAAGAAGCTTCGATGTCGTTCTGATGACTTCAGACCCTGCACCTTATAGACGTTCTACTTAAGTCCAATATATGTTCTTCTTGAGGAAAAAGGGATTGTAGCGATACCAGTCCAGTGGAATGATATAACAATTTTGTGTAAGAAAATCTAGACAAACTCTGGATAGACTAAACTGAGGTTAACATACTTAGTATAGATCAGTTCGTAGAGTCGAGAATCCGTCATTCAGCACAAACCTGCGGGAAGAAGAGACAATCCAAAACAGGGTTGACAAGCTCACAAACCAGCACATCGGTATCAGGTTAAAGTACCTAAACTCGACGTGTTGTCGTAACTTACCAACTTCATCTTAAGGGTAGATTGGAAACTTTCCAGTCCTCTAAGACAACGGATATGACTTTTAATGGTGGAATGATTCTTTTACAAACTTGCAGAGCAGCAACCATTGTATTAGGAAGACATACGTTAACGTCTGTTAGCCATAACATGATTGTAAGAAATCATATTGACTTTAAATATTAAAAAACACCAATTTGGATCTACGAAGAAATCCTTCTAACTTTGTACCTTTGTCGTGCCCTGGGTTTTGTATTTACTTTAAGTTCATATCTGAATCCACATATCGTTCATAATATTAAAAAAAACCCATGTTCACTCCTTAATCTCGTGAAAAACACATACATGTAACTCGTTGGATAAGAATCATATCCAGCTAGAAATCATGTGAGATCCTTCATTTATGTTTTAAGATTATTCTTTTCCACAGACGACCCTTTCCAGCATGTGACTCCTTGTATTGGAACTTATCCTGATTTGGTTACAGTCCATTTGGTGTTACATGATGGCTACGTCACAGATGGAACAGGTGCTTTGGATTAAAAATATGATTTGATAAAATAAAATCTTGCGAATATTTATGGATGTGATAGCGGAAAAAAGTTGAAATATTCTCATTATTATTTATTTTTTTGAAGATCAAATAATGTGGACGGATAATTGTCTCTTCGTAGCCAGGTCTCATATTGCTCCTTTTCTTCTATAGATAGACTAAGAATAAAACAAGAAAGGATTATGAACTTTATGTGAATTTATTTCAGGTGTGACCCCCGTTATAGCTTATCATGAAGACTGAAATCTTATCTGCGAGGTCATATTTTGTTTTAACTCCGAACTCAATCACACTCTGGGCTCAGAGTAAAAACGGTTTGTTTCTATTTCGTAAAAAAAGAAAACAAATAAAATTCTCTTTTGCTGTATTACACACTTCAAATGATCTATATACACAATGTAAAACATAGGTCTCAATGAAATTATTAACTCCCTAATACTTTATCTGTAATGTTGATTAAAATGACCTTATGTGAAAGCGCTCAGAGGCCATTTGATAAATCTTCCAAACCATCAATGTCTATGGTATTATTTGGCATGTAACACACTACATTTCTACAGAGGATTTGGTAGCTTGCTACTCTGACGGCTGGGGCAGTGAAGATCTTAGGTATTCATCAGCTGACGTTATCATTCCTGCATGAAAGTTTCCAGTCACAGACATCGAAATAGTAAACTCATTCACTTATATTTGTGGTTAAGCTAATTCTGGATTACTACCTGCAACTTTTCCTATTGACCTGGATAATGATATAATCAATGTAGAGGTATATTTTCCAAAAATATAATTATTTGGTTTTTACTTTTAGGTAACTTGAGTAATGATCAATGATATAGATCTATTGCTCTACATATCTGATTTTGTCGTCATGTATGGTATGTCGTTCATCGTCCGTTTTCATTTGAAAATTTTCAGCTTGCTTTTTGTGAACGCGAAACCAATTTCAACTGAATTCATTGTTTGTATTGTCAAAGAAATGAAGTTGATTTCATTGTCAGTATCTCCAGGAGCCGGGAAATGAATTAAGCCTTAAAAATGAACGCAATTTTAAAATATTTTATTTACTATGAGCAGAACATCATATCAGGGGGTATGAATTTTACGATAGATCCCTTTTCTTAAACTGCATCATCCAAATGGGAAAATTGAAATCAATCTCAAATGAGTAAATTCAAATTAAAGTCCGTCCATCAGGAGTTGTGGTGTTAGTTTTTTTTTCTCCCTCTCTTTCCTTGTATTTGTTAGCTGAAGGATAATTTAGACCCCCTTGCTTGTCGTAAAAGGCAACTAAATGGGGCGGTCCTTCGGGTGAGACCGTATTAACCGAGGCCCCGTGTCACAGCAGGTGTGGCACGATACAGATCCCTCCCTGCTCAAAGGCCGTAAGTGCCGAGCATAGGCCTAAATTTGCAGCCCTACACCGGCAATGGTGACGTCTCCATATCAGTGAAATATTCTGGAGAGGGACGTTAAACAGAATACAATCAATCAATCAATCTTCTCTGTGCTTGTATATTTTAGATAGGATAATTTAGATGCTTCATTTAAATGAATAGATCGATGACAACTTTTGAAATTCAAGGTCTCTAATGTTAATGTCAAGAGCTCTGGTGTTTTTTTATACAGCTTTTAATTGATCAGAAAGTGAATTTTAATATCAACAGTCTCGTTTAAAGTCATCATTTCGTAAATTCTATGGTCGATACAATGACCTTGTCAGCAAATACAATTTATCATTGAATGAAATGCTATATTTTTCATACCAATTGTTAGTCCATTATTTATACACTGAATTGACGACGGATTTTTTCCGTTATTTCCTGATTATGACAACGAGCACACGGCGGGTGTGACCGGTTGGCAGGGGATGCTTTCCTCCATGGCACCTGATCCCACCTCTGATGTTTCGGAGGTCCGTGTTTGCTCTGCTCTTATTTTGTATATTGTTTAATGGACGTTGAGATTGAATACTGTTCGTTATTTCCATATCCTTCTTACATCCATAAAATATGTGCCCCTTTATAAATAGCAGAAAAACTAAGTGCAAAATAATGATCAGAAAATGTGTATTTTCCAAAATTGTACAAATCAATGCCCATGGCCCAGGAATTTTGTGTAAAGGCGGAATTCCTCTCACAAGGGGAGATAATCAAGAAAATACAAAAATCGGATAGGGTCATTCAAAAATCTTCTTCTCAGGAACAACTGGGCCAAAAAAGCTGAAACTTATGTGGAAGCATCCTGGGTTAGTGTAAATTCTTAATTGTTCAAATCATGACCCCCGGGGGATGGACCATAAAATGGAACTAAAGTTTTACATAAAAGTATATCGGAAATATCTTTAAAAAATCTTCTTTTCAAGAACCGCTGGGCCAGAAATTCTAAAACTTATGTGGAAGCATTCTAGGGTAGTGTAGATTCTAAATTGTTCAAATCATGACCCAGGGGTATGGCGGGGCCACAATAAGGAATCCAAATTTTACATAGTAATATATTGGAACAATCTTTAAAAAAAAATTATTCTCAAGAACCATTGGGCCAGAAAAACTGAAAATTAGCATCCTAGTGTAGTTAAAATTCAAAATTGTAAAAATCATGACCCCTGGGGTAGGGCGGGGCCACAATAAGGAATTAAATTTTTTAATAGAAATGTATAGGGAAAAAAACTTTCAAAATCTTCCTCTCAACTACTTGGTCAGAAAAGCAGAAACTTATGTGGAAGCATCCTGATATAATGTAGATTGGAAATTTTCAAATAATGGCCCCTGGGAGTAGGGCGAGGCCACAGTAGGGAATCGAAATATTAAAATTATATTAAATAAATATTCAATATTTACTAAGAAATTATAGGAAGAAAAAAGAATTACTATTCAATATTTACTAAGAAATTATAGGAAAATACTTTATAGTTATCCATCAAGAACCACTAGGCCAGAATGACTGAAATTCATGTGGAAGCATCCTGGAATTATGTAAATTTTAATATGTCAAAAATTATGACCTGTGGGGTATGGTGGGTCACAGTAGGCCACTGAGGAAAAAATCTGGTTAGGAATGGCATGGTCAAAGCTTTGCAGGTGAGCGATGTGGCCCGTGGGCCTCTTGATTTAAGATTTCTTGACCTGTTTTCCACAACAAAAACCATTCCATGGGTAGATAAGTCAATGTAAAACAGATATAGATGTTCTTCGAAATAATCATGGTTTAACATTCTTAATCAAGATTGATGAATTTACGATATTCTATAATTCCAATTTCTCAATTACACAGGTCAAGGGTTTATCAGAGCCTGCAGGGAGAATGTTTTACGGAGCCGGATCTGCGAGTCTCGGGTATCCTTCGGAGGAGTTCGGAGGAATTGTTTACGGATACACGGAGTCTGAAGTACTGATTTGGACACCCACTGGTCCGTCTGGTCACCTTATTTATATCAATGGCGTCTGGGGTGATGGGATTGATAGCATGCACGTTGACACCGTAGAGATTACAATAAAAATCATCCATAGTTATATTTCTGGTATGGTTTATTTCGTCCTATACATGTAGCTATAGGGATCTATGTAAGTGCGTCTCTCTATGCATGCACTGGAGTGTTGCTTTTTATATTTTTGTTAACATACATATATTAAGAATCGTTTCCGTTAAATAAGAAAACATATGACGATTTCGTCGACAATGTGTTAGAAAGATACATTGAATATTTAAAAAAAAAAAAAAAACAACAACATAGAAATGTATTCTACCACTTCTGTATTTCTTGAGAAGTGAATGATTTATACAGAAAATCCTGTCTTTTTTTATCTAGACCTCCATCTCTTAAAAATTGGACAATCTTTCCGCAAAACAACTTTCTATTATGTTGAAAATACAATAATGAAACTGCAACTTAATATGGAAAGGACAAAATTTTACAATACGATACATCCAGATCTACAAATGAACTGTCCAGATCCTATTGCCTGAAAAAAAGTCTTACTTAAATAAATATAAAATTATCGCTTTCTGTATTTAAATGTGTGTGTAAAATCAGCTGAAATCTTAAATTTTAAAAAAAATATTAGCAATGCATCTGTGGATCTAAATGGTAAAAGGTTCCTTAGAATTTGTTTTTGTCATCATTTTATTATTGTTATTTTTTGTAAGTGGATAGACCTTATTCACAGGTCCCTGTAAATAATTCCTGGATAAGTCCCTGCGATCGAATAAAGAGTAACTAATTTCTCTATGATTATCGTGGTTTATTTTTAAATTCAATAAAAGTAATCCAAATTCATAACTCCTCTGGCACCGATTGTAGAGTGCGCCTCACCTCCGGATATTGTTAACGCAGTAAAGGTGTATAATGGTGTTCGAAATGGAAGTCTGGTGTCCTACTGTTGCCTGCCGGGATATGTCAGCAGTGGGGAATTTGATGTTTTACCATGTAATGGTACACACTGGATGGAAACGAATTTTACATGTAACCATTTTTGTAAGTAAAAAAAGTTTAAAAGGAACATTTTATGTTTTTATAATAGTTGGAAAAGGAATAATTTTTGATAACCGGTATAAAATACATAACAAGTATATTAAGAGGGAAATGTGCGTATGTTTTTTTAGAATACAAAATACGGACCAAGTATTTTGTATATTATTCTATATATTTCAACCAAAGACAACTATGGTTTCTGTTTTTGAGACATTGTCAAAGATGTTTGATTTTATGAGACGAGTACATTAAATTGTATTTTATGAGACATAAACTTTTATATATTTGCATAGCGCTGGCAACATCAGAAGTCCTTTTCAGCTCAGTTGAAGAAATTGTACGCGATTTGAAAATTCCAAAAAGAAATACAAGTTCATATGACAGAAGTCTTATGTGTGCCTTTGATCCGCGCCAAAGTTCAATGGCAGTCAGAAGTGTAGGAGTCGTCATATTGTTCCTGGTTGCTGCACTACTAAACATAGCTGATATTCATACATTTCTGGAGGGCAGGATGTAGTATCAAATGCCACCAAGCATGACATTTTTTCTACATTTATGAGAAAGTACAAAAAATTTAATTTTTATTCATATTATTTTATCTATATTTTTCTTCTTTTTGCATAATTGGAATGATGTTTCATCCATATTAATTTTGTAGTTTCATTGATTGATTATTTCCGGATGGAAAACTAAAACGTAAATATGCGCGCAAAAATGTGTGCGCAAAAAAAAAAAAATCCAGACAACAAATGTATAAAAATGTTATATGTTATTTTACTTACCCCTTGTTTAATATTGTCATTGACATTGATTTGGAAGACAAGATGTTGGCAATCAAATCAGAAAATAATTTTGTAGATGTATGTCCACTTCATATTAAAATATTTGAAATGTTAATCATATCTGTTTATGAATAAGACAGACAAAATTTATCACAATTGGGAAGACAAAACAAAATCCTCATTTAAAAAAAAGTACGAATGGCTTTGGTATTTAAAATAAATATCTGTCATTTTATTGTCCCATGGTTACATCTTGATGTTATGAGATAATTTGAACAAAAATCAAATCAGTCTCTCAGACTACAGAAATTAAAAACATCGAAAAAATGTTTTTTTATTTGTTCATCTTCATCTGTTGTAATATTTTCCATGAAAAGATTTATGTTGCCATTTGTATCATTCAGTTTCAAAGATTATTTTTTTCGATTTTTTTTTTAAATTAAATGAATATTTCTCTTGGGTTAAGTACTATAAGCCATTGAAAAAAATGTTTGTGTCCCATTGGTACTTAATGCTAAAATTGCTTTTGTCCCATGGTTTTCTTCGATAAAAAGACTCATTGTCCTATGCCCATTTGTACCTGTTCCGTCACTGTGATAAATTTTGCCTGGTCCCTAAACTGAAATATATATATAAAAAAAAGAGAGAGACCAAAGACTTATACCGATATATTGTTTTTGAGTCTCCTGTGATATCTTAACGCTTTTGTCTATATTAAGTATTTTATATCTATTCACATACATGAGAGACAATGAGAGATAATGCATTTCATGAATTTTTAGTTGTATGGCTATTTTTGTATAAGCAATTCTATGCAGCTAAGATGAATTTTTACAAAGATTGATTTTATGAAAAAAAGTTCCATTGACAACAAGCATTTATTGACATGAACAGTTTTCCCTTTTAATTAAAATTTGCTTCAACGAGAACGGAATATGCAATTCCATTAAGTCAATACAATACCAGAGCGCTACTTTTCAAATCTTTTTCAGTAATTAATGTAGTTTAACAAAGCATGTTTTATAATAGAAAATGGAGCTTTGATATACATTTTTATCTTGTGTTTAGAATTTCCTTGATCATCGGTTTCATTAGTATGGTCCTTCACATATCATTTTTTTTATATTGAAAATGAGTTTTCAAGGCATATCGGTCGATCAGATTGAATTGTGTTTTCAGACCGAAAAAAAAATCTTCATCATACCTTCACAAAGATATCCTTTGATATTGTTTTGATTAGCGACTAAAATAAATGTAAAAAAAACCTCTTAGACTTTAAGCTTATAGAAAAAGAGATAAAACAAAAGGATTTTAGCGTCAACAAAACAATAGAAACAGTAAGATGAGGAAATAACATTATTAAAAAAAAACAGAAACCTGATATATAATTTATCCTCAATATCATTGCAATGACTTTTAAAAGATTATCATTTCTTTTAAAAGAAACGTTAAGGTTTGAATATTTCTTTCACCAAAAGTTAAATATGTTAAAATATTTATATCAGCAAAATGCTATATTGCAAATATATCTCACCTTTTGCAGCAATTTCCATCTATTTATTTTTTGAAATTGAAAAAAAAAGCTTTGTGGCAAGTTGTTAAAAGCAGTGTACTTTTGTTGAAAAAAAAAATTAAAGGTACACTGAAGAAAACAAAAGAAGGATATTGCGCTGTCCCTGAACTGGATTTCTACTAAAATGGTATATTGATCATAAAAAGTTTTACTTTTATCTAAGTGGGGCAAAGAATGCTACCTTGACGTCAAATATTTTCAAGTGTTTAACAATTTTTTTTCCAGAATGAAGACAAATCAAAAGATGATTTCTTTTAAATAAATTTGGTTTGAAAACAGTCCGAATTTTAGATTTTATGGTGCATAATGCTGTCTTAATCTAAACGAGAGGATATTTGCAACCGGGAAATTGATGCCGAATTTTTTTTTTAATTGTTTCATCTAGAAGTATAAATATATCACAGATTGCAGAAGCAAATGGTTTTTTTTTTTTTTAATCTTTTTTAATGCATAGAGCATTTTTAATTTTTTTGGTGTTTTTAGACGTGCATATATTCTAGAAATATTTATAATATCTTTTAATAATGACCATACAGAAAAAAATCAAGGTTTATTGTTTGTTGTTGACAAGCCATGTGTATTTTATAATAGTTTTAATCAACTTGTTTAAGTTTAAGATTTGAAATGTTATAAACGTTATGTAGATACTCCTTTTAAATCCATTTTTTCTATTGAATATCTAGTATATCAACAGATTTAAATTTGGACAAAATAGAGTAAGACCTCTTTTTTGCCCCTGATATTTGGTGATTCCAAGAGCAATTCAATATCTCGTTAGAACAAACCTATTATCAGCCCTCTTACAAGATGAGTATTCATTCTATGTTATAGGGTATATAAGTCACAAAATATGTCATTTTCCGAATTTTCTCATTGTGATGCAAAATCGCTTCAATTTTATAACATATTTTGTTTCAGAAAAAGCAGAGCACAAGCCTGCCTACCAACCAATATAAATTAATTTATTTTATCTACTAATACTGAGAATATTGTGTTGTATGTTTCCCGAAGTAAAAGGTATATTGATTTGATGAAATTCCGTCATTTTTGAGAAAATTTTAGAAATATATTTAACTTTGAAACTCTCTTGTGGCCTTCTTAAATATACTTTTTGAATCAAATATGTTTAAAACAAACGACGTTTAAAGTTAGTAGCTGAAAAAAAAATCAAATTTTTAATTGCGTTTTGTTTTTTACATCAAATGTGGATGTTACCATGCCTTATCCTTTGTATTAAAGTGAAACGTAATAACGTTGCTATATTGTTGTCCTGCGGCGACGAAGTCGATACCCAAGGTTGATTTATTATTTTATTTTATTTTTATAAATAGATTGAGGCGTTTATATGTAAAATTTTAGTTAAACATTTTATTTTCAAAGATTTTATTGCAGTTGTTAAAATGACTTTGGTGACATATCCAAGATATCATACATAGTTGATTGTATCTTAATTTAACAGCTTTCAGGTACATACCTAAAGCTTTTTACTAAAAGTGAAATATTGTAAAATCACATGTTTTCAAAGGTCAAATTTTTGTGGTTTGAGGAAAATATATTGGTTCAGAGGGATTTGATTTCTTTGTCGAGAATTATTCAGTAAAAATATATATGTTAAATTGCATTTCTCTGTGAACATAAATTCGTGGGTGTCTTTATACCCTGAAACCCACGACAATCGAAGAATTATAAATTACAAAGTAAAAAATTCAAATTAGTTAAGATGTTTATAAAATGTTATCATATTTAAATCATTGTTTAATTGACCTCGTCCAAATAATGATAAGTCAAATAATTCCATAGGTGCAAGTTCTCGAATTTTAAGATAAAAACTATCGATACATTTATATGTGGTTTTGTTTTCATGGTAAGTTAAGAGTTAAGAAATATGTCTTAAATATTAAATTTCGATGTGGTCATGAATTTATGGATCATTCCATACCTTGAAAACAATGAGATTAAACCCTCTCAAAAACTTGTGATTTCGCAGGAAGAGGTATCATTTTTACATCTTTTAACAAACAGAAGGAATATTTGTCAAATGATGTGTAACTGGTCAAGATTCCCTCCCACAAACTTTTCGCACCTACAACCTGCCTTATGAGTCCGATAAATCTACATTACCCGTCAGCAAATATTCCTTTATTGCTGGAATGGTTGTAATAATGCTTCTTTTACCAATATTTGATCTCTTTGTTTCCAGTATAAATGACGAGGAGGACAGAATTTGATTTGTTTCAATACCCATCCTTCCGATCGATAGAAGGATAAAAGAATCGGTTTCTTTACCTTCTATCACGTGATGATTCTATGATAACAACACAGATTTTTTAACCCTGAAAGTTAATTATATAAAGATTTTCTATTTTAGTCAATGTAAATTGATGAAGTGGATCAGTTGATCGTGATAGAATGCAAAAGATGTAAAAAGCGTTTGGTGAACAATTCATTGACTGTCCACTATGGAGTTTTGGACAAATTTGATATTTACTATTTCCATTTTAATAACTTGTTTTTTCGAGAAAAATCTCGGTAAGAATATACTGAATTGATAATTTATTACTTTTAATTATTTTGTTCAATGTAAGTATTATTAAAGTCGCATGTTTCTTGATCCCCAAAAAACATGAAATTTAAATTAATTGTATCATAATTTTTTTCTCGTTATTTTTACGAATTCGTGCATTAAAGTAAAAATAATTTATATAACATGAAGTTTATCTGATTTTTTTTTCAAGTTTCGGGAATTGATGCACCTTTTATAAGCTCGTGGTATTCCATGGAATTAAATGCAGAGAGCCCGATAGTGATTCCTCATCCCCTTAATGAATTACCTGTAAAAGTGGACGTTCAAGTTAAAGTGAATTATGATGGAACAGAATATATATTTCCCGGACTTGGGTCCGCTCAAAGAGACGATGATATAGCAACAGACTTCGGAGGTGTTGGATACATATATAATGACATTGATGTAAAATTATTTATTCCCGTGGCTCAAAGCAATGGCAATGGACAAGGTTGGGTCATAACAACAGGTGAATATTAAGAAGTATTAACGCCGTTTTTCACTTGAATTAGTTTTTGAAAATATTCGAATTCAGAATTAAAAGTGTCGGTTCACGTTTTCCCAACCAAGAATAAAGAATGGGTTGGTATGTACATTGAAATAATTGTTACGGGATTTTTAAAAATTCTCCTGAAATTTGAACAAAAAGAATATTCAAATTAAAGCAAGAGTAAAATTGAAATTATAGTTAATGAACGAGAAACAAATTACCAGGGGAATAAATAAATGGTTTGTCTAGTTATTAACTTCCAGTTCAAGATATATTCAACCACTTGGTCAGAAGAGGGCAAATAAATAAGTTTAAAAAAATGCTTTGAAATGATCCCGGCATAGATTTCAAATTTTAACAAATTCATGTTTAACATTATCATTGCATGACGAACGGTGATTTAAGTGATTCGACTTGAATGCATTTAAATTTTGTATAAATGTAATATATTTTTTAAAGCAATATGAGCAGCACTTTTGCATTTTATATTTTATATTGCTGTAAAATTGTGTTATTATGATAAATTGGTATTTAATTTAAACCTTTATGACCATTTAAACTAAAATAAAGCAGAAAAAAGACTTCTAAATACAGTTAAATGTACAGTTTTATATAAGAAATCATTATTGTACATGACAAAAATATTAATAATGTAATATTAATTCAATCGAAGCTTAAAAGATAGTTGTATCATAGCAAATATGAACAACAAAAGTTTATTATTCAACGTTATTTTTTTTTCTGTCATTGAAATAGTTATTTACAATTTTTGCAACAAAAAATGCCGATATCAAAGTTGCAGCTCATATTGCTTTAACAAAACTTTACCCTTGATCTCTAAGGTGGAAGTCTCTACTCGGGGCCTTTTGTTGGAACGTTTACAGTGTGCGAGGTTCGAATACGAGCATGGAGAATATCTGACTGGCCTACTCCGAACTACTTTGTTGAATCCACTATTTCCACATGTAAGCGATATGTTTTAATTTATCTATTAGACCTGATATGAATTATACTAAATTTATAATTCTATAACAGCATTTATAACTTAACGTTAAATTTTCATTGTGTCTTACGTGTGAAACATTTTCTTGTGCATTTATACTTCATTTTCTATGAAGCTGCTCCCTATAAGAATGTTGCTCACAATCTTGGAGTGTATCCAGACTTTGTAACGGTTCAGCTTGTTCTCAGTACTGGATACGTCTCTGAAGCACAGGGTATGTCAGAAAAATAAAATCGGCAAAGTATTAAAATATATATTTAAAAAATATATATCAGACTTATTTAGTAGGAGGTTTTTTTTTATTTTCTGTTAGGAACAACGCCAACAACCTTAAATCATGGCACTAAATGGATCAACACTTGTGGTACAATATTTGGGGTCACTGATTGTACTATAACACTGTGGGGTGCGAGCGAAAACGGTTAGTTTATTTTCCAAAACAACTGTCTACAATTCCATAGAAATTATCAGGCTTTTTATCATTAAAAAGATTCATCCTTGAATATGCCCTCCTGTATACGTAATTAATTCAACATGTTAAACTTGCTTTCCTATGTTAGTTATAGGCCAATATAGAAATATAACACATTCTATACTTTTCTCTATGAATTTTGATTTCAGGTTTCTGATTAAAAAACAATTCATTTACATCATAAGTATCTTCTTTTCATCTGTTTGTCTTTGAAACAAGAATAAAAGATACCACGCACTGCTACGTAAAAAAGAAATACTTGAAACAAGAATATGATATACTACTCTCTGCAACGTAAATCATTAATTATGAGCACTCACAGAAAATTTATATATTTCATATTTTTCTCTCTTGAAGATGATTTCCTGGCATGCTTTAAAGATGGTTGGGGGAGTGAAGATATTTCTTATACCTCAGCAGCTGTTCATATTCGAGCGTGGATTCTTACGTCCTCAGAAATTCTTCAAAATGACCAATACACATACGATCAAACCAATGGCCATTTGAATTCTCAAGTTCCACTTACAAGTTTATTTGATGTTGACTTCCATATCCTCGTTGTAGAGGTATACTTAAAGCTAAAAGTTACCGATATATTAGTCTCCCTTTGCATTCTCTTCTAACTTTTCAGAGATTGTCTTCAATGCTTCTCTTAAAGTACTTACATCATGATCTTTTTTGACTTAAGTTTTATTTCATCAGACAAAAGATAACACCATTTCAAGTGGAAGAATGTTTTACGGCGCTGGGTCTGCAAGTCATGGAGAGGCAGGGGAATCCTTTGGTGGGACCGTGTATGGATATAACAATTCTCATGTACTCCTTTGGACACCTGCCTCCTCCTACGGATACCCTATTTATGTAGGAGGTGTCTGGGGCTCAGGAGCAGATCCTTTACAGTGTTCCTCTGTTGTCGTGTCAATAAAAGTCATTGCTACAGGGAACCTTTCACAAGGTAAATTGGAATATTTCAGAATCATAGAATAGAATATTATTACAAGTGAACTTGTTTTTAAGACTCTGATCTCAAATATATATCTTTCTTTTCTCAGTATTTATTTAGCTGAAGGAGAAAAAAAAAGAATGTTGAATAATTTGAATTTATATTGATTTTGTTTTTTTTACTTAGTGTGTATGCATATGAAAAGGAACTTAATCATAATAATTTGTAAGCTTCGTTGAAATAATTAGGTATAATTTTTGGTTTTTTTTTTGCTAGATCAGAAAAAATTCAGTATAAATCCTAGAAATAAGATATGATATGGCCAAATTTAATAAGTAAACGTATTACAATTTGGGGGTAATTAAAAATATATAATAATATAAATTTAATCATATTAATTACCTATCCTTGTTACAGTTGCCTGTACATCCCCACCAAGTATTGCAAATGGATACTATGTTGTAAACAACGACTCTGCTGTTTATAATTGTAACAGTGGATACCTAGCAAATCAAACAAACAACATTTTCTATTGCAACAACTCAGAATGGGAACAAATTTCTCTTTATTGTAAAGGTAAGTCAATGAACTTACATGTACTTTATATTGATTGTTCAAGGAGAGTATTCTTAATGCTAACGATAAAACGTGAAAAGAAGTCATCATGTTTGAACTTAAAAAAATGTCTCCAATTTTCCCTTATTTTGTAAAGGCACATGTAGTCCACGTAAGGATTAAGTTAGGATGGCCTTTGTTTATTGACAATATTATGATAATTTACAAGCGAGTATGTCAGTATGGAAATGCAATTTAACCTATCGGTGATTTTCTGCAAAAATCTCCATTTTTTATGGAAAGTATTATAAGAAATCCAGTTTACATAAATCCTGTAAATCTTCTAAAGGTATTGTTTTGGTGACAATTTGCAATATACGTGTATGTCAAAATAAATGATTAAATATTTAAATACCTTTTGTTTCTAGAGATGATGTGCCCGACCCCAAAAGAAATTGCAAATGCCATACAAATATCAAACGGGACACAGAAAGGAAGTGTTGCATTATACTCCTGTATCTCAGGTTATTTTAGGAACGGTGAAACTGGACTCATTTCTTGCAACGGAACACATTGGTCTGACACAAATTTCTATTGTGCTGGTAAGGAATGTTTGAAATAGATGGGGTATTATACGAAATATTTCCGTGTGGATTAAATTACATAAAACATCTCATGATTCATGGGTAACAGAAATTAATTATAACAAGCATGAAATTTCGAGTTTTTATTTTATTTTGTTAAGTTTACAAATTTTATGATGTTGATTTTTAGAAAGTACATCTGCCTCCTGTGGCATTCCACTGGCTGTACCACACACTTATATTACTGTAGAAAATAACACAGTAGCTTACACCTGCCACGATGGTTATACGGCTAATCAAACTAACACTTCCATTACCTGTGTAAACGGACAGTGGGGTCAACCAGTTTTTTCTTGTTTAAGTAAGCATGTTTAAATAATTTTTATTGATGAATTATTGAGAGGTTTTTAAATAAAGCAAAGTTCAGGGTTGCACTAGTACTTAACCGTAACCAGCACGAAATAAAGTGATAAATATGATATTGACTTTCACTTATTTGCTGGACAGCTCAACGAGTCATTCATAACTGTCCAACTGATTTTTGTAAAGCCTTATCTAGTTTTTCATTCAGAGACTATAATAAATCGAGCTGAAAAAAAATATTTATAAAAACAATAAAAAGTCGAATTGAGAAGTTTGTGGGGACAATATAGAGTGTCATGAATAGTCTAAACCTCCCTATAGATTTTTATAATGTCTCGCTTTTTGTATATTAAATAATTTAATTGATATTCATAATTTATTCAGATATCTATGCATTTGGCGATAATTGCTTTCATTTAACATGCATACAATATGCATCTAGATGTTTCCGCGTAATTGCCTTATGTAAAGTTCAAAATATTTTTTATCAATGCTATATTTTGACTCCTTAGTTTAGCATACGTTATTTTAACTGATTTGTTTAAAGTCACTCAGATAATTACGGTAAGTTTAAGCTCAAGAAGCCACTCCTTGTTGGTTGAATTCGAGCTTCTATCTAAGATGTGTACTAATAACTCGTGCCTTATGTATACAATATAAAGATAAAGAAATGAAGCTCAAATACTCATTGTCTCAAAATGGATACGTGTCGAATTTTAACCCACGACATAAGTATCATTTCTTTACTCTAGGCAGACGTAATAACCTATGCTATTGTGAAGCCTCATTTACTTTAATGGTTGATGAGAACAAACATTCTTGTCTGCAAGATATTTATTCACAATATTGACACTGCATCATCTAGCTTCATGAATATTTGAATTTTATCAAAGAAATCTGCAATTTTAAAAGAATTGAAATTTTAAAATCTTAAATAAATTTTATCTGGCCTCATTTGATTGTTTGATTTAATATTGTTGAACACCAAGTTGGCAATTATTCAGCCATGTTTCGGCGGATGGTCACATTTGAAGATTCTTCTTAACAATAGTGTTTTTTCTCACATTTCCATGTACATTTGTAAACAAGCATTAGAGTTTTAATAAAAATTCCTGCTCATATACTACAGTATCACGTCCATTATAAATTTGATTGCATTGCTGATTGCATAAAATACAATTGGAGATGAATGGGTTCTTTGATTTAAAAGTATTCACAGAATTTGTAGGATACTGTGGGTTTTTTTTTTACATGTATACCTGGATGCAACAATTTATAAAGAAGGATTCACAACTGGCGTGGTTTTCGAAACGTAAAGGCACACGTTTAAAATTATCCATTCTACTTAAAATTTTACCTATCGATACTCATTCTCGTAAATCAGTAACAATGGATATTTTCAGATACATCATGTCCTTATCCACCAGATATCCAAAATGCAATGAAACTTTCAGACGGGATAGGAGACGGAAGTTCGACATTATACACATGTATGCCAGGTTTTACATCGAATAATGGACAAGCAAATATATCCTGTAACGCCTCTAGGTGGAGTTCAACAAATTTTACATGCTTACGTATGAAATACATTCTACAATATCATTTAACTTTATTAAATAACTAAGATCTAGTTTATTAAAGAACCTTTATAATAATATTTTTTTGTTTACAGCATTGTTTATAAACATGAGCTTAGGTATAGAAATATAAGCTTTTAATATTTTAGAGAACATAGCCTAACGTGGATGTGGCATTGATGTTGATGTGGTCTTTTAGTTTTAAATTCATCTTTCTTTCTGCAATATTTGTTAACATGAAAGAGTAACTAAGACATTTAATTTTTTTTTTCAGAAAACGCAGTGTGCGGAATACCACCTTCAATACCCAACGCTTACTATAACATTGCTAACAAGACTGCTTTTTATCATTGTTACCATGGCTACACGGGAAGTCAAACAAACAACACCATTCACTGTTTGAGCACTGAATGGGAAACCCCTACCCTTAGCTGTTCCAGTAAGAAATAAAATATGTTAAATAAAGGATTTGGAGATATTTTACAATATAAATTGTAATATTTGATATATTGAATAATTTTCGATTTTTAAATGAAAATTTACCTATTCACTATTTGGGAAATAAGACGTTCAAGTCTGTTTTTATACGATTTGCATTTTTCTGAATATGCCATATTTTCTGATTACAGACATATCCTGTGGTGTTCCAGTAGATATCCCAAACACAGTTAAATTGTCTGACGGGTTCTACAATGGAAGCATGACGGTATACTCTTGTCTTCCTGGATTCTCATCTAATAACGAATACCCGAACACCACGTGTAACGGGACTCATTGGTCAAGTGTGCAATTTGCTTGTTCAGGTATATCTCCATAAACTCAATTAGTGTGCAAGAATAATTATACTTTATGGCTGTAGATAGTACAACAGTCTTTGTTCAACCCTATTTTCTTGAACAATTGGTTCATTATTGTAAATTCATTGTAGATAACAACTTTAAAAATATATTTAAAACAGTCATTTTTAAAAACGTTTTTGGGAAGTCAAATCTAGATAACTTGACAATGTAAAAAAGAAAAGAATTGGATTAATTTCAAGTGGCTTTTATCTCTTGCTGATTTATGATGACGATTATTGGTCTTTTTTTAATAGCATCACCAGGTTGTGGCTTTCCACCAAATATTCCAGATGCTTATTATGTAATGGCGAACAATACTGCTATCTATCACTGTCTACCAGACTATATAGCTAGCCAATCAAATAATATAATCTACTGCAATAACTCGGTTTGGGAGGAGCCCAGTCTCACGTGTCTACAAAGTAAGCATATTTTAAAACAATACTTCAGAGAATTTTATAGCTTCAAAGAAAGTCTTTGAAAAGACTATCTCGACTTTTCTTAAGAATTGCTCAATGAATCTAACTTTCCACAGCGAGAAGTATCTATTATATTTGTCAGATCTTTTCTATTTTGTAAAGGAATTAAAAAAAAACACTAATATCCAGTGGTGCAAGTTGCAAAAAAGAGAATAAATTGATACTGAAGTACTTTGTAGCAGCATTTTAAAAATAAAAATATAGTAATTTACCCATATCTAATGTCTGTCCTGGTTTTTTTTATGAATCAGATGTTTATAAGTCTAGAAAGTTTAAATCAAAATTATATAATCGTGATATTTTATGGTAATTTGAAAGCGAAGTGGATAAACAAAACATTATTAATTCATAATATTATTTGAATATCTAAAAGGCATTGGTTTCTTTTCAATAAGATAAGGTATGTCCTAATCCACCAGACATCCCGAACACAATAAAACTCTCTGATGGGGTAGGGAATGGAAGTTCAACGTTGTATACATGTCTTCCCGGATTCACATCCAATAATGCCTTCCCGAACATATCTTGTATCGAGCCGGAATGGACATTGACTAATTTTACGTGTACAGTATGTAAAGAAAATATATTCTTTAAAAGGGAAGAAATTCAATTTCAGACAAAAATACATGTATTTCAAAATTAAGAAAAAAATCACAAACGTTTCCACCTACAGTGTAGAAGATAGTACAGTTTTAAGTAATTAAGATACTTGCTTTTCCCAATCCCATTCAACAGAAATATTTTCCTTCAAATTTCTGCTGAAATGAGTTCATAAAAAATATGTACACATAAATGATTACTTATCAATGGAAACGGCTTTGACATTTAGAAAGCTTACAGGCCAGCATATACATTTGTTTATTATATTTGAATTCTTTTCTTTCATTCCATTTTTTTTTTTGCCCCGTGGGAATCCAGGTTAGAATAGGTCCTCGGTACCACCTTGCTTGTCGTAAAAGGTGAATAAATGGGGTGGTCCTTCGGATGAGACCGTATAAACCAAGGCCCCGTGTCACAGCAGATGTGGCACGATAAAGATCCCTCCCTACTCAAAGGCCGTAAGTGCCGAGCATAGGCCTAAAATTGCAGCCCTTCACCGGCAATGGTGACGTCTCCATATCAGTGAAATATTCTGGAGAGGGACGTTAAACAGTATACAATCAATCAATCAATCATTCTTTTTTGGATACATTCTACAAGAATAATAATGGGTTTCAGTTAAGATTATAACATACAAGGGGCTATTGAAAAGTTCGTGGACTTGCGCCATAAAATGAAAGCCGCTTTAGGTACATGAATAAATTTTAAAATATCTAGTTACCATCATCTTTTCTATCTATAGAATAAATCACAAATCAGAAATGTTATTTTTTAATAAATTAGAACTGTTTTTGTAAGCAATGGTTTGTCTATCCGGCGCAACCTCGAAAACGACGATTTTTTCGACCTAAGTGTAACTAAGAAAACTTATTGTGGTATGAACATTTGAGATCCAAATATCCCGTTAATTCAAGGTATGTGACGGGTCACTTTTTTCACAAAAAAAATTAATTTTTTAACTCATTCTGGAAGCTCTATGGTATTTTATCGTAAATCTTACATGGAGTATCCAAACAAATATTGCCTTGAAAATGACGTCAAAAGGTGAGTGGGGTTTCCTTTTCCAGCATTCTATAAAGTCTGGAAAAATTGTATACACCTAGAAAATGTTTAAACTGGCTACGGAAAAATAATATGCATCCAGATTACTGGTTTTTAATGCTAAAAGAGATTCAGAGAGAAAAGGAATGCGCAATTAATGTCGATTTGTAGTTCTAAAGGTGTGAAAAATAAATCACGTCAAAAAATGACGTTGATCATATGTTTTATATATAGAACTCCAAAAACCAAAATATGCTGGCATCATCAAGCTAGGATCTCTGCCATTGTATAAATCTATTTATTATACCTCTGTTTATTTTTTCTATATAAAAATAAGACGAATAAAGATGCTATTTTTTCTAAACAGTCTCTACCGTGAAATAGTTTTTGTGCTATTTGCCCATGGTGAATAGTCCTCAAACTATTCAACGTCAGCATTCGATTTCCCTCGCTTTTCATCTCTGAAAAACTTCTGATTTTACATGGATTGTGACGCGTATATATTATGACGTAACAAAAGTTAAGTCAGAACCAGTATAATATGGAATATCATAATTGTGTGTACCCTGGACTCCCAAAAGTTAACAAAAGTTAAGTCAGCATCGGTATAATAAAACACCTATTTACTGACTATTCGGACAATAGCAAGTTTATCGTCCCCCTCGACAGCAAACTATTTCCCTCGTCTTGGGGGACGATAAACTTGCTGTTGTCCTCATAGCCAGTAAATAGGTGTATAATATGCTATAGTATATGCATTGAAAGCCGCTGGTCATGACATTGTAAAGTCATATGAGCAATACGGACAGACTGAAGTCCTAAGTCAGTTCCAGGGAATCTCATCAAAATAAGTGTATGAGTTAGAAGCAGACATAGAAAAAATGACGTTGTCAGACGTCATAAAACTAAACGGCGACGGCGCCGGGTGATGATATAATGTCATTTTTATTTTGTAATAATTTGAAAAATAGTTATATATGTAGCTAAATTTTTCAACATTTCTTTATTTGTTTTATTTTCCTTAAAAATTTTGTAAGCTCAGACTACATAGAGCACTAATTTTATAGCCTCAGTCCACGAACTTTCTGATAATCCCTCATATATGAAGAGATATAGTGCATGTTCTATTTTTTTTAGTTGCCAATAGTACATGTGGTCTTCCACCCACAATACCAAATGCATATTATACAACTGACAACAACACAGCAACGTATCATTGTTACCATGGTTACTCTGGGAATCAAACAAATACCACCATTAGATGTTTGAACTCAAAATGGGAAGCTACAACACTCGGTTGCTTAAGTAAGATTTCTCCGTTATTAACATCTTTTATTACATTCGTATTTGGATTTTCTCCATTCGGATTATAGGGGTATATGTGTGATAAATTTTAACTCATGATAACAAGGGTTTTTTAATTGTATTCATTTTAGAATTTTCCTGCGGTCTTCCTCCAGATATTCCAAACACCGTTAAAGTATCCGACGGTTTCCACAATGGAAGCGTGACTTTATATTCATGTTTGCTTGAATTCTCATCTAATAATGAGAACCCAAGCACTTCATGTAATGGTAGCCATTGGTCAAGTTCACAGTTTGCTTGTTCAGGTATTCAAATTCATTTCAAATTATCTTGTTAACTCCTGAGTTGTACAATTGTGGAGGGTCTGTCTAAAGTCGAGCAGTAGGGAGTTGATCTTTGTGTCGCAGGTTAAACTCCCATTGTGGTACCGGTCCTTAGGATGTGTCCGTATAAAACGATATCCTGGGTCTTATATCATATATACTGGCAAGAAAAAAAATCACCATTGCTCAATGGCACTGAGAACCAAGAGAAAGTAAAAATTTGCCGTTCTCCGACGGCGAGTATAGTCGTCTCCATATGAGTAAAAATTCTCGAGAGGGACATCAAATAATAAATAAACAAACAAAAGGAAATTAAATCTCGTTCTATTTCATTTTTTTTCTTAATTCTATTGTAAAATATTTATTTGTTTAAATTAGGATTAAAATTTAGAGATAATTGTTCATTTTTTAGTTGCTTAAAGTACATGTGGTCTTCCACACACAATACCAAATGCATACTATACAACTAAAAATAACACAGCGACGTATCAATGTTGCCATGGTTACATGGGGAATCAAACAAACACCACAATCAGATGCGCGAATTCAAAATGGGAAGATATTACACTTGGATGTCTAAGTAAGCTTTTACTTATATACTTCGTATACTTATTCATTGTGCGCACACGTACGAAATTATAAAGTCTCCACATATAACAGTGATGTTACATGTAATGGGTATAGTTTTTCTGACTGATATCTTATTATATCATAATTAAAATTCATTTTAGATGTTTCCTGTAGTATTCCGCCAGATATTCAAAACTCAGTTAAAGTGTCCGACGGGTTCCACAATGGCAGCGTGACTTTATATTCATGTTTACCTGGATTCACTTCTAATAATATTGTAGAGATTGGTCAAGTGTACAGTTTGCTTGTATCCGGTATACGTATCCGTTCATTTCTTTCGTAGTCGAGGTATGAGAGGCAGTGGTAGATGTTTGTATCAAATAAACCATCTGGTTACATTTCCATCGTTTCAAGTTTGGTTTTTAACCTTATTCACTAAGAAATAATATGTAGTGTGATTTTTTTTAATAAAAACATAAAAGTTGCTGTACACGTCTTATATGCATCATGTCTTTTTTGGTGGAGGGGGTATAAAAATTTAAAAAATAAAATTAAAAAAACAGGTATGATTTTTTTTAAATTTAAATGTGTATATCAATATTTATAATACAGTGATACTCTCTCTCTCTCTCTCTCTCTCTCTCTCTCTCTCTCTCTCTCAATTTTAGTGGTTTTCCATTCAAATAACATTTACCAAACACGACATATCCCCAATAATATATACGTAATTATATACATGATAACAACACGGCGACATATCATTGTTACCATGGCTACACGGGGAATCAAACAAACACTACCATCAGATGTGTAAACTCACAATGGGAAGCCTCAACACTGAGTTGCTCTAGTAAGCGTCTACTGTTACAGTAGTAAAGATCATGAATTATAATGATTTTTTGTTCTTTCCATTTAGTTGAAACTGGGACATTTTAACCTAAAGGTTTTATAAAGAATATATTGTATACATTTTAGATTTTTCCTGCGGTAATCCCCCAGATATTCCAAACTCAGTTAAAGTATCTGACGGGTTCAACAACGGTAGCATTACTTTATATTCATGTTTGCCAGGATTTTCATCTAATAATGAATACCCAAACACTTCATGTAATGGGAGCCATTGGTCAAGTGTACAGTTTGCTTGTTCAGGTAAACAAATTCATTCCATTCAATTTGGTTCCATTTCCTTTCGATGATATAATTATATAGGCTTAAGACATTACAGTAACACATGTTGAATTTTAGCCGCCAATAGTACATGTGGTCTTCCACCCGCAATACCAAAAGCCTACTATACAATTGACAACAACACGGCAACGTATCATTGTTTCCATGGCTACATTGGGAATCAAACAAACACGACCGTCAGATGTGTGAACTCACAATGGGAAGCCGTTACACTAAGTTGTTTAAGTAGGTTTCTACTTATAAACTTCTTTCACTTATTAAAAAATGTATATACATTTAAAAGTTTCAATATTTTACTGTGGTGTTTGTTGGTATATTTTTTTTCTGACATTGTATGTTATGGTGTCATATTTTAAATCCATTTCAGACTTTTCTTGTGGTACTCCCCCCGATATCCCAAATACAGTTAGAGTATCGGACGGATTCCACAACGGAAGCATGACTTTATATTCATGTTTGCCAGGATTTTCCTCTAATAATGAATACCCAAATACTACATGTAATGGAACCCATTGGAATAATGTACTATTTGCTTGTTCAGGTATTCAAATCTATTTCATTCATTTCATTTCATCTTTTAGTCGTCAGGCTAAAGCTAGAGCGTCTACACTAGAGTATCATCAAGGACTTTAGATACAGAAAATCTTATCAAAATAAAATTGGAACCACGCAGCTCGCGTCAAGATACTGTGAACATAAAACTGTTAACTATGAATTGTAGATCTGTAAAGAATAAGACTCTTGCTATTTCTGATATGATAGTTTCAAACAAAATTGACATAATGACTATCACTGAAACTTGGCTGGGTAGTGATATTGATAATGTGGTTTTGCAAGAGCTAGTACCAGAGGGATACAAATGTATTCACATACCTAGAAAAAATCGAAAAGGAGGGGGAGTTGCAATGATTTTTAGCAATACCATTAAGGTAGAACAAATTAAGTCAGACATGGAATTTTCACACTTTGAACATCTTGATTGTATAATATCTTCTCGTGCAACAAATTCTCGCATCTGCATATATCCGCTCCAACTCATAAGCATGGGCATACATTGGACTTCGTTATTACACGTGAAAAAATTGTATTTTGAAAAAATCCCCCCATTGTTGACACACACACACACACTGCACACACAATAGATCATAAAGGAATATATTCATCGCTGTGTCTGTCTAAACCAAAAATGCTTTTTTCTGTATCGTTTAGGAAACTCAAAAACATTGCTATTCATAAATTCAAGAAGATGTCATAACTTCATTATCGAAGTATCATCGTGATTTATCACCTGATGAACTCGTACAACGATATGACACAGATATGAGGGCTCTAATTGAGCAACATGCTCCATTACAAACAAAAACCATTGTTGTGACACCAAATACAGAGTGGTTCTCTGAAGAACTTCGCGATTCAAAGCGAGAAAAACCGCAAAGCTGAACGCGTATGGAGACGTACCGAGTTGACTGTTCACCGTGAAATGTTTTTAGTGTATTGAACATTCAAAATTGTGTGTGTGGGGGCAAGCAGTCGTATTATTCGAACAAAATCATTGAATGTGGTAATGGATAGTTAAAATATTCCATTACAAATAAACTCAAAATAAGCATGACACACCTCTTCCGAGAGGTATTAGTGACAATATCTTATCAAATTAATTCAGCAAATATTTTGTGTCTAAGATTCAGAACATCAGATCATCTTTGCTGTCATCAAATTTTTCCGTAAATGATGGATGTTTACGGTGCACTGTTGTCTTTTGTGCCGTTTAAAAATGTACCATTTGTTCATTTTTCAACGTCTGGTGATGAGATCAGGAAACTCCTATTGTCTATGCCACCAAAATCATGAGATCGATGCGTGCCAACATCGATAGTCCGAAACTGCGCTGAACAATTCGTACCTTTCATCACTGAATTGGTTAATAAATCGTTAAGTCTATCTGTCATAAAGAAGGATTTCAAACAGGCTATTATTAAGCCATTAGTGAAGAAACATAACCTAGACACGAACGAATTAAAAAACTATAGACCTGTTTCAAATTTATGATTCCTCTCAAAGGTTATTGATAAAGTCGTTGGAAATCGCCATTCATCATCTAGACTCAAACCATTTGCACGATTCTCTACAATCTGTATATCGTTCGTATCACTCAACCGAAACTGCACTGTTGCGTGTTCACAATGACATCGCTACCACCTTAGACAACAACTCCTGTGCTGTACTTGTCATGCTCGATCTGTCGGCCGCGTTCGATGTTATAGACCACCAGATTCTTTTCCATCGTCTTGAATACTCATACTGGATATCCGGTTCTGTGCTGTCATGGATTAAGTCCTATTTAACTAACAGGAGTCAGAGAGTATCGATAGGTTCAACCTTATCAAATGCGGAATGGCTTGGAATCGGTGTGCCTCAGGGCTTGGTTCTTGGACCCCGGTTGAACTGTTTGTTTTCGAAACCTATAGGAAATATATGCAAGCGTCATCAAATGCGGTATCACTGCTATGCATGTGGTTTTCCATTCACAATATATCTCGTTATTGAGCCACAACAACACGAATAATGTGGCTTGTTCTCTCATGGCTACACGGGAAATAAAATTATGGATGTGCACTAATCTTTTAAAGTTAAATCATGAAAAGACTGAATTGATGTTCTTTTGTCCAAAACATAAATTAAAGGACCTTTCTACATTCAATCTTATTTTTGGAGAAAGCTCAATTAGTGATTCTCCTTTTGTGAAGAACCTTGGACATTTTAACCAAAAGGTTTTATAAAGAATATATTTATACATTTTAGATTTTTCTTCAATTATATCCGGAAAATCGGTCGCATCCGTCCGTACATCACAGACGACGCATGTAAAACTTTGATAAATTCACTTGCGACTTCCCGACTCGATTATGCGAATTCATTGATGTATTGTATAAATAATAAACTGCAAAAAGTTCAAAATACTGCTGCGCGGCCATTACTCGTACCAGTTTCTTGTTCACTAAACAAATCTTCCAAGATCTCCACTTGGCTCCCTTTCCTTTACAGAGTGAATATAATTATATACTTCTGTTTGTATATACATGCATTGAACAATTTGCTCCAAATTACTTGTCCGAGCTTCTACCAAAATATACTCTCCTTCCAGGTCCTTACGTTCACAGTGTTCTTTTCTTTTGGATGTTCCTAAAGTTAGAACTGTGTGAACTCACAATGGCAAGCAGTTACAATAAATTGTTTAAGTGCCGTTTCTACTTATAAACTCTCTTTCACTGTGTCTAAAAAAATCCAAATCTGTTTCATTTAAAAAAGTTTCATTATTTTACTGTGGGGATTGTAAACATTGTTTTCATAGTGATATACCTAATGTAAATAGACGCTGAACTGATCTTAAAGTCTTTAAGGTTTTTTTTATTTTGTCTTTTTTAATGTTTCATTAGTTGTAAATTTATCAAAGTGACTCCCACGCAACATAATATTTTATGGTCTTTTAGTACACATAAAGTCTTTTAGATATCCTATTTTTATGCACAAATATGTATTATGTATTTTTTTTAAAGTAATTTGTTCGCCATTTTGTATGTTTATATATATATTTTAATGTGAAGCGCACTAGAGTGTCATTTTTATAATGCGCTATAGAAATTATTGTATTGTATTGTATTGTAGCACCGTTAAGAGTTGATCCTTACCTCGCAGTTTGAACTCCCATAGTTCGACTTAGAGACCTGTTCTTCTGATGAGACCGTTTAAACCGAGGTCCTGTGTCAAATATTAAAGTTATGGCCATTGAGAAGTAAGCGATTAGAACTCACTGGAACATGGACCTTTGTTCATATGGTCTTATACAAAGGAATGGTCTCCACGATCCACAAAAGAATTCTACGTATTGATCAACTCAAAATTCCGCAAATCTATAGCAGATGCTTTAACTACTACATCACGCATTTTGTATGATATATATGAAGATAACGAACAGTGGTTTAGCTCAAAAGTTTATAAAACAATACAAATGGGAACAGAGTAAATATGAAACTCAAAAAAACATCATTAAATGGATCAGGTACCATGAAAGAGTGAGCATCCCCTGCTGACAGGTTATACCATCCGTGAGCTCCTTATCATAATCGGGGAATAACGGAGAATTCCGCAGTCAATTCAGTGTGTGAATAATGGACCATAGATTGGTATGATAAACGTCAGTCAGCATGCGACTCACTGATAAATTGTACTTGCTGAAGAGACCAGTGTATTGACTATAGAACTTACGAAATGATTGTCAATAATTACCTTGTTTTTTAAATGGCAAATAAGTAGAGCATGTTTTTTGCGTATTGAATCAACGGACATATTAAAAAAGAGCGATTAAACTACGAGGTTTAAGTCAAAATGATAATACTCCATTGATGAATTTTGCATTTTTAGTTCCAGAAGGTACATGTGGTCTTCCACACACAATACCAAATGCATACTATACAACTGACAACAACACGGCAACATATCAATGTTACCATGGCTTCACAGGAAATCAAACAAACACAACCATCAGATGCGTGAACTCACAATGGGAAGCTATTGCACTCGGTTGCTTCAGTAAGATTATGGTGCAGTAAACGTGTTAAATTATAATGATCTTTTGTTCATTTAGGTTCAGTATTGGTGTGTAAGATATTTCAAACCAATATATTATATTCATTTAAGATTTTTCCTGTGGTCACCCTCCAGAAATTCAAAATTCCGTTAAAGTGTCTGACGGGTTCCACAATGGCAGCGTGACTTTATATTCATGTTTGCCAGGATTTTCACCAAATAATGAATACCCAAACACAACATGTAATGGAACTCGTTGGACGGATGCACAGTTTGCTTGTTCAGGTACGCATTCATTTTCATTTAAACCTCTACTTAGAAGTGCGGAAAAAGCAAGCATTGGTTGATTTCTCAAAAAACCTCAATGTGAATGTCATTACCAGGTAACAAACATTAGGTCTTTTATTACAGAGAGATTGTTCAGATACCTTGGAGGAAAAAGTATTTCTGGCAGGAGAATCAAATCTTGTAAATGATATCGTAAACAAAATGTAAAATTATTGTAAAGTTGTAGATATAGACAAACAAAGAGTTTGAAATGTGGGTATTTAATGTTTCAAATCTCGTGGATAATTCTCGCACGCAATTAAAAGTTGTGTCAAAGTAAGCTTAAGGGTACTTGGACACAGATTTGTTTACTCTATAATACTCCAAGTTATATATTTTAATAGCATTTCATACAAAAAAATAATTTAAAATCTTATTTCATTTAAAAGTTATTAAAACATTATATTTCTGGCGCGTTTGATTGACACATCCTTCCACTTTCACAAATTTCAACCTTATTCTTAATCCTTTTAAAATTAATTTGTGAAAGTGCAAGGATGTGTCAATCAAACCCGCCTAAAAAATTGAAATTTTAATATCTTTTATATGAAATAAGATTTTTAATTAATTTTTGTGTGATATGCTATTAAATTATATAAGTCGTAATATTATAGAGAAAATGATAGCTTCAAATCTGTGTCCAAGTACCTTTAACACAGCAATCATAGTATGGTTAATCAATCTATCAACTGTAAAAGTAAGTATAGTTAAAATGTTTCATAAAATCAGGATAAGCCATTTTTTATCAGGTCAAGCTTGCTCTTCTCCACCTGATATTCCCAACGCACTCAAAACATCAAATGGATTTATTAACGGAAGTTCAACGTCATACACATGTATGCCTGGATACATTGACAATGGTGCCAATCCAACAATTTCATGCAATGGAACACATTGGACAGGAACTTTGTTTTCCTGTTCAGGTATGTTTTAGGCATATGCAACATTTATTCCTTTAAGAAGAAAATATACACTTCAAAAATAATTTTTGGAAATAAGAAGCACATTATTTTTTTTTATCATTTTAAACGATTGATGAGCTATATGGAAGTAACAAAGAGTATTCAAGGTAAAAGTACATTAAACAATACAAAATGGTAGCAGAACAAACACCTCTAAATCATCAAAGGTGAAATGAGTATTCCCTGGCGACCGATCTAACCAGCCGTGTGCTCCTTTTCATGATCGGGAAATAACGGGAAAATCTGTTGACAATTCCGTGTGTTAATGACTCAATAATAAATTGTATTTGCTGACAAGGTCTTACAAAATAGTTTTTCCTAAAAAAAATATTTCAAAGATGTTTTTCTTAAGGTTGAATTTATAAATAGATGTTAAGTACTATTTTACTTGACTGTATGTATAACCTGAATATATAAAATGCATTTGACATTATAAGATTAAATTAATTTAATTGTACTGATTGCATTGTCAAACTACTAATTTTTTACCTCCATTGAATCATTTTTTTTTCCAGAAGATGGTAATCTAACATCAAATGATTCAGCATTAGCATATGCATTGGAGGGACTGAAAATCCCAAGGAAAATGACAACAACCTATAGCAGGAGTTTGAACTGTGCGAGTGATTCTCGGCCTAGTGTTCAAGCAATTGGTGCCATGGGACTGAGTATTATTACTCTATTTGTGGGACTAATAATTCTAGCAGATTGTGTATCTTTCTATCAAAAAAGGAGATTTTAAATGTCAAGGAAAGCCAAAATTAACAATAATTAATATTTATTTATAATTATTCTTCCATATATTTAATATTTTGCCATTTCGGGAAGTTGGTCGTGAATGTATAATGATCATGTACTTACTTTAATTGTATTTTGCATCAAAAGAAATAAATGATAATGTCTTTCAACTATTTTCAGTTCAATAATTAAGTTAAAGAGGAGAAAAAGTGCACAATTTAGTTTCATTAGAGAGGCTCATTTTTACAACACATGCCTGATATGTACACCAGTGAAATATCTTACTTTCAAACCTGTCTAATTTTTGAATTCCAGCTTATTATCCCATTCCCACCGAAAAAAAATTAAGAAACAAGAACATATCAGAACATTAAATTTGTAATTGATCGATTAAAACTTATTTGCTTGTTTTTTTGTAAATAGAATACTAGAATCCAGGTAAATATCCAAAAATGTAAAAAAGAATCTGTCAATGTGTGCTATCGAGCTGGCCCTAATTTTCTGGTTAACGGGGTACACGTTTACGTGATTATTATCCACTCGTAAATAAAATGTATAAGATGGCTGAGAAGTGACTGTGCAAATGTACTGTGCAATTTTTTTTCAACAAGCTGAAATGGACACATAAACAAGAATAGTAGCGATGCTCAATCTCCTCCGCAACTAATTGAGTAAGGGGGTGGGTGGGGTTTAATGGCTGATACTAGTACTTGTGTCTTCATTTTCAGATTCTACATGGATATATTCTATTTTAGTGGGAGGGTAGCATTTTCACAGTATGAATGTATTTTGTACGTGTATTCATCCTAAAATTTGTTTTACGCAATGTCCATTCGATATAGAAAATCTGATTTTACTATTTATTTTAGCAATGAATCTACTAATAATAAATGTCATTTGTATTTTGATCTATCGAATCACTGGGTTTGTGTGGTTTTCAATTTAATCTCACAGGTCCTTAGGATATTCGATGCAAAATGACTGTGAATATTAGCACTTTGCTTAGGTCTTGCGTCACAGTTAGATTTGAAATGATGAAAATCCCCTTTTTCTTCTGGCTTTGGAAATGAAATAATTTAAATATATGCAGTATTTCACTTAATTTTTTATCAGGCCCACAATGTTGCAACAAATGATAGCTAACAATTGAGTCTAATTTGAACTTTTTAAATACATAAAAAAATTGCGCATTTGATAATACGGCTCGATCATAAAAGCAACACTTGCATAAATGATGGACTCCCGCTCCTGAGATTTTGAATTATTTTCTTCATTTGTGCTTTTCTACCAAGCTCCTCTTCTATCGCATAACAAGTCAAAATCTCTGAAACTTTTTCCCTTAAAATATTTGAATGTTATGTGAATTTTACTTTAATCACAATTATTTCTCAGGGTTTACGTCAGTATATTGATTAAAAGGATTACAGAGACTGTATTGTTTCCACTCTCTATACAAATTTTGGTTGTTGTGCTGATTGTAGCGACGTCCTTCGGGAAAACTGCAAATCTTGTTTGATACCTTCTCTCTAAATCAAACATAAAAATGCATTATATATAAGCAACCTGTGTCAACTGAATCTTTTCTGTATTTTGCAACTTTTTAATCGATTTCAAAAATTCAACAAAAAATTATGGACGTACGTTTTGCACAGAAGAACTGTGCCTATGTGTCCAAACTTTGAGCTTCATTAATAATTCTTATCTCCATATTTCTCATAAAAAACCCTGAAATTTATTAAAAACTACAATATGATCCATATACATGTATGTAAAATACATGAGGAAGTAAGACCATCCTGTTTTTTTATCTTGGAGATCTGAGTGCTGGCAACATTTAAAGTGTCCATTTCTCAATAAACAAATTTATCATTCGACATATGTGTGCATTATCAAAGGCACTCTGGGAACCAATAATTTCCTTTTGTAAACAAACACAAGGTCTCTATTTTCCGGTATTAGAACCAAAAAAGTAATGAAAACACATTTAGCTCAGTCTACATATTGAATGAGGAAATACTAATCATTGCACTATTCCTGTGTCAGATATATAAAACAAGTACATGTAATTTAAGAATATTATTAGAATATTTATATCTCAATCTGTGTCATATGCACCAAAAACTGCTGATATAAATCTCCTTTCAATACACATTTTTCTTAATTCAAAAGAGTAATAGCTGTCCATAACATCGATAAAACTTAATGGAATTAAATAAAATGATGAAGTGGGTAATTGTATTGTTTTTGTTTTCCATCAAGAAATTAACAACAAATCAAGAATTACCGTGCATAAGGTATGCTTTGATTAATTAAAGAATTACATTTGTACTTACTTATGAAAGATTTACCCCATAAAACTTTAGGATTCTTTTAATAGGAGAGACGGAAGTCATGGTTGCTGTGATGGTACTTTCTTTAACATTGCACTGAATAGATGCGAACGTAGGTAAACTATTGTCAACATTTTTATCAAACATTTTACTGCATAAAACATATTTATATTTGATTTCTATCTCCTCATAGAAGCTACATAAATATGCATGTATGTTTGTTGATGACTGTTCCAGTTGTTTCTACATGTATATAAGGTTTACAGTTAAACAAACTTTGTCATTGTAAATATTTTTTTTCAAAAACCAAATTTCAGCTCATTTATTAATGTCGATAATGTGCGTTTAAACCTAGATTACTAGTATATAATAGATGATGATAGGATTTATCTTTTTCTTTTTGCTTAGCTAGTGACCAAGCAATTTATCATTTTGAGACAGTATATATGATATATTTATTTACACAGAATTTTTGTTAAATAATTCAGATAAATATGAGTACAGAATGCAATTGTTTACATTTAGAATGTCCAACTGGTTATTTTGGACCAAACTGTACAAACAAATGTTTGTATCCTAGCTATGGCATAGATTGTCAACTATTTTGTTCATGTGAAAATACTTCTTGCAACTTTGCAAAGGGATGTCTTCAAACAAGTAACTATTAATTTGTAAAATTTCAAATGTTTACTGCAGTTAACGTAGTTTCCGTAGTTTTTGCAACTCTTTCAGCTTCTTTGGATCCTACATACCTAAAGATAAAAGGAAGCATCTTTTAACAAGGGATAATTAATTCAACAAGGGGCCCAAGGGCATTGAATCGCTCTTCTGATAAATTGAACAATCTATCATTTCTATCTAAAGCCTCTAACCCTAATCATGACCCCTTGGGGTAAGGCAGGCGTTAAAGTTGTACATATAGTTTGATATAGGTGTAGTGTTAAAAGGCTTTGAGTAAAATGATTTAAAAAAGAAAGAACCAAACAACATTTCCACCCTTGGAATGGACAAGCCAAAAAGGTAATTGAGGCAAATGGGAAGTTCGGGACAGTAGGGTATTCATTATGCATATTCACTGAAAATGGATGTGTTTATAGTTATACTGTAGTTAAAACGCTAGCTTTTATTACGTTAGCGATACACAAGTTAAGCTTGTCATTACTTTTTAAACTGAATGTATGTTTACAGATAGGATTTCATCCTGCAGATTTTTTTTAAAAAAACCTATAAAAGTATAATTATCATCAATAATTTACAGAATCACAAGTATGCAAAGTTTGAGATGTAAATTTTTTTCATTAAAAAAATTATACAAAAAAGAAAGATAGAAGAAGAAAATGGCTAATGTACAGGTGCAAGTCAACTTCTTATAGCTAGAGAACGACAAAGAATCATCATTTTATTTCCTTCGTGGTTAATACAATTATTCAGTGAGGACAACATGCAACGACAAAAACATATAATAGATTGGAGACCAACATTTGAGAAAAAGAACGACATCTTTGCCTTTTGGTCGGCCTCACAATCATGAAAGGGATTTCATTGGTTTGACAGCACAATTCTTTGTCTACAAAATGAAGAAGAGATGCAGAGAGGAAGCCACACCCAAATTTTTCCACCCATATATGATAAGAAGTAAGGAGCTATCCGGAACGGTGACTGTGATGACGCTGTGATAGACATGATTGGAAAGATCCCCATTTTTCAACTCTGCAAGTATGTGTTTTACAGAAGATGAGAAAAAATGATAGGCAAACTGACTACCACATAACCTCCAGGATCCATGGACACGGACCACAGCTCATGAGAGATTCCTTTTGTTTGACGATAGAAATAATGCAGGAAACAAAATAACTGTGTTTGCCATTAATGACTGTTCTGTGTTTATATTTGTTACAGGATCTTCTACTACTGTATATCTTTATTTACCCAGCTATACACTCTACATGCAGAGTACTCATTATGTGGCTACATTTGTTCATGTCATGTCCATTGGGTTTCATGAGCATGATATTCCAGGTACTAGTATGTTGGAAAAAAATTTAATTTCAGCCACATATGAAAAAGGTATATTTTTTATGCGGCTGCATTTGCTTAATTCGTGAGAAGTGGGATTCACGGGCACTATTTTCCAAGTTATTTGTGAAAAAAGTTTAATTTCAGCCGCATATGACCAAATGTATGTTTCTATGCGGTTGTATTTGCTCATTTCAAGATATTCATGGAATAGTTGCATAACATTGATAACTATTCCATACAAATGTTCATTTTCATCCGTACATAATCCAAATATCAAGGGAATGCAATTAAAATATGTTCTTTGTTAAAATAATCTTATGTTCTATGCATATCCTTCATTAATTTGTGAAAACTTTTATTTCCATCGGCATTTGGCCACATTATCAATTCTATGCGGCCGTATTTAGGCATTTCAGGTCAATTAGGGTTCATTGGCATAAGATGCACAACTATATCACACAAATATTTATTCTTATCCTCACTTGTGATTAGTTGGAGATGTTGCTTTCATATTTTACATATTTATTCTTTCTGACAATTCTTCTGGTACCAACATTCTTTATCTTTGACCTCATATTTCACAGATGTGTTCCTTTTTACAAGGCATACCTTTGTATACCAACCCCGACATTTGACATACCCTTGAAAAGTTGAACTTTGGTCATACCTTTTGAACAGTTAGTGCTTTTGACATTTCCTATGTATATCTTTAATAACAAAGCCGTATCCTTGGAATATTTAATTAGATCTTGAACATTTGCCCATAGCATTTGATCTGCATTGAAAAAAAAACTTTGGCCAATTTCTAAATAATGTTTGCTTGACCTCTCCTGACCTAGGATAAAAATTGGGGTTGACAGGTATGTGAATTTTTTTTTTTTTTAGAAAATTTTATCAACCATGCTGAATTTTTCAAAGAAAAAAAATTCCTGAATTCATATAAAACCATTTCTTGAAGGTTAAGAAGTTTAGAGTGGGACATTTTTTTTATAGAGTCATGAGAGAGCAGTCAAAAAATTTAGTAAAGATGGCCTTGTCTATAACTTTTTAATGGTCAGTGTCTAAGTATTTAAATTTCACAATTGCTTTCATATATACGTACTTTCTCTAGGTAAAGTTTGTCATATCTTGACCTTTGAATTTTCTTACATTTGATTTTTTTTTACCTTCCACAAAATTGTCATATGGGGGCATCAATATGAAACAAACCACCCACGCTTCAAGTCATTGAACAATGACAGTACTGATTATTTTTATAAATATTCATAAGAATGATCATGCAATGGAGTACATATATTTAAAACACAACAATTAAAAAGTTTCAGTTGTCAACAATATTCAAAATATTAAAGTAATATCTAAGTTTCAAAGCACTTTATATATTTTCACTAAAAGGTCAAATAATTTTCATTAATTGCAGTTTCTAAACAGTATAACAAATTCATTCTGAACAAATCAAAAAGGTGAAGTGAAAAGCAGGCCAACAATACAACTATAACCAACCGCAATCTCATACTGTTAAATAGTCAACAATATCAATCAGTGTACATGTATGAACCTAACATAACCATGGTAACATGTTAACCTCCACAAAAGTTTTGCTTACATGCCTCTTAAATATTTGAAATAGATGTCAAATTCCATTGTTAAAATGCAGAGTTGTAATATATTACCTGAAATTCAGATAATGTGGAAATATTACAGGGTAAATATTGTAAATCACTTTATATTCGCGAAAACTTTATTTTCGCGTAATTACGTGAGAGAGTATGCTCGCGAAAATTTTATTCTCGCGTATAATAGAATTCCTCAAGATTATATAAAGCACTGACCACAATTCGTGAAAATTTTGTCTCGCTAATAAAGAGTCAATGACTACCTCGCGAAAATAAGGTGTCGCGAAAACTAAGTGACCTACATTATGAAGAAAAGAACTAATAGTTAATGCTGAACATTTATGAAAAAAAAATAATTTCCCAAGGACAATGAATTTTCAAAGAATTATGGGATCAGTTAATAAAACTGTTGAAAAATGGAACTTATTATATAGCCTCTAGCAGATGCAAACTTATTTTATACCTTGACAAAAATAATATGAAAAACGGGGGGAAATCAACATACAAGTGGAAAATAGTGTACTACAAAACATTTTTGAGGCAAATGCATTCAACTTATATGAAACTAATATGAAATTAAAATTTGGTTAAAAAGTCATTTAAATTATTTTAATGCAAAAACCAAAAGTAATATTTTTCTTCACACAAAGCAAAAAATAAATTTTGAAAATTAATTAACAGTCTTTATATCGATAAGAATAATTGTTGATACATGTAATTACAAAATAAGGGCAAAGTCAGGTGGATCATTCTGGATTCAAGATTTCAAATTCGAATTTCAAGATCAAAATCAATAAAAGTGCGTATCAAAATTAGATTTTAGATTAGATTACCCTGCTTTGCTCAGAAATCATTAAATACTCGTATAATACCGAAGATGTCATTTATTTTCGTAAAAAAGCATTAAAAATTAGCAGATTGAAATTTTTGAGATAAATAGAGTCTTAGTCCTCAAAGTATCATATACATTTTACCTTATTAATATGAAACGGGCCGATTGTAGTTTTCATTGCGCAATATTTCATGCTAAAAAGACGCATATTTACTGTTTTGAAGCAGCTTTTTCCGCTTGATTAATGAAACATAATTAAGAAATTACAGGTTTAAAGATGTAATTAATGATATACAATTATTTAATGTAATTTATAAAACTGAATTTTTAACCGATTTTTGAACTGGTAGGTAGGTTGAAGTCGTTATACATGTAGTTTGGCATGTTAGTCGGATGAACAAATGTATGTATTGATATGAACTTGGTCGGAATTACTTTTATCACCTAAAAGTTCCTAGTCCTTCAGGATGAACATGCATGTATAGCTGTATTCCGTAAGATTGAATTGAGTTTGATTTGTGAATCAAATACATGTAATCTAGATATATATTCAACTTTGAATCAAATGATGCAATTTGGTCATATCTATGCCATGCTTTTTTACCATAAATTTAATTTATTAACCGCAATAAATTCGTGGTATCAACAAAAAAAACCATAACCCATACCTAATGAGCTAACATTGACCTACCTTCATGATACCCCTGAACCAAATGTCTTAATAACCATGCGTGATAAGATATATAGTGAGATTCAATGCATGACAACGTAATCATTTGTACATGTACAACTAGTGTAGCTCATTATATATAAATTGTTCAGGAATTTAGTCAATGTGACTACCTTACAGCAGATATATAAACATTTTGTAACTTACTAAACTGATGAGATATGCAATTTAATACTTTAAATATTGCATCAATTTTTGTTTATTTTTGTACTTTAATGTCAATTCTCTGTAATTATCAAAATTGGTTGGCCACGCATGGAAAAACATTTTGATTTTTTTTATAATAATTTTAAACAGCTATGTCATTAACTGTAAAATCTAAAGTGGGTTTATGAAATAGACCCTTGGTTGCCATAGAAACGGGGTGCAAAATTCTCAATTTCGTTAATTTTGAAAAACGTGTACTTATCAAGAAAAACTGTGTCCAGAAATGAAAAGGGATAACTTAAAATGTTTTCATCATTTAAATCTAATACTACAGATTAAAGTAATTATATCTGTAGTTTTGATTTAATCTCTCAATAGTAAATTAGGGAATAACTATCTTCTAATTTGGTATTTGCGACCGTTAATGCTGATTTAACGGTCGCAAACTGAGTTTTACCGGCGACGCGTAAGCGGAGCCGGTAAAACGGATGTTTGCGACCGTTAAATCAGCATTAACGGTCGCAAATACCAAATTAGAAGTTTAGTTATTCCCATTCTAATGCAATCCATGCATTTTGTTTGTTGTTTACGTCTTATTTTGTTGAATTTTGTTACATGAAATACGTCACGGAGCATTGTATTTTTGCGTCGCTCTATTATGACGTCACAATGAAAAAGCTTTCACGCTCGTTAATGCTCGTTTTACTGCTTCAAACATCAGTGCATTAGCCAATCACAGAGTGTTTTACAAAACAATTGCATTAGAATGGCCATTTCACATATTATAACATATCAGATATGTGATTGGTTTAGTGGAGTTTTTGGAGGCTTAAAACAAAAAAGGCACACTGATTACAAATTTAGTAATAATTAATTATGAAAGGCTGATATTTGATTATATCAAAATATGTAAAATATTGGTGGGAGACTCAGAGATGTAAAAGGAATTCAAAGGTAAAGATAACTTTTTTCTACATTTTGAAGCATTTTTTGCTTCCTAATTACTTCCCTTGAACTACTCTCTAACGTTTGGAGGTACAATGTGTATTTAGTAAACAGCAATGAACATTTTCTGGCGAAAGATCTCATCAAAGTTTTACAGTCTGGAAGAAGAAAAGAAGGCTAGACATCTTAAATAATGAAGACAGAAGGTAAATTTATGAAGAAAAATATCAAGATTAACAAATGCATATTTTCTTAATTTTATTTGCCTTACAATACACAGTTGTTTTACCGGTAGTGGTCAGTGGTCCATATCAAATCAAGCGAACTAATAACTATACCTTTTGTCTGTTTGACTTTCTGACCAATGAATTAATTATTCTTATTAATAAAAATTATTTTGAAACATATAAACATCACTTGCTAATACAGCTGAACTCTTCCCCTCCCCCCCCCCCCCCCCCGAAATATAAATGTCTATATAGACATGATAGAGATTGTATAAAATCTGTGCCATTCAGTAGGTTTACTTTTTATGATGTGCTGAGAGAGACTTTTCAGTGAACATTATTTATCTTTATAATATAAATTTTCACTTCTGTCAGTTTTCATTCATTGTTTATCCTGTTATTTCAATTCTTTATTGGCATTAGGCACATATTTTACAGAATTGTGCTGATAAAATATTTAACAAGAGCAAGTTTGTTTCTATTAAAAAAAGTGCATCAAACGTTTATTATGTGTGAGCACAAGCATAAAGTAGATAAGTTTTTTTTTAAAAAATATTATTCTATATATCAGCAAAATATGGCATTGTGATGTTCATAAGCATAAGAAAATAGGAAAACAGCATGTTTGTTTTAATGTCATTGTTTTATTTAATAGCTTCTATCATTTAAACTTTAAATTTATTATATATATCCAAAACTGTACTACCGGTATATGTATTGACAAAATAGATCTAGGTAAAGAATGCACTGGAAATATTGAGTTATTTTTGTTTATATAGACTCTTTCATTCGTCTGTGAAGTACCGGTACTGTATAATCCTATAGTTCAGTTTTGTGTGAATAATAATAATCTTTTCAAATAGCAAACAGTAAATATATATATATGTACACTTGTACATATGTATTAGTGTTAAAACAAAATTTAACTAGAGGTACTGTGAGCAATGAGCTCACTTAATGATACCCCCTGCCTCCCATATGGTTATGACTGATGACAAATCCATGTTTTACTGTGGCCGGGAAACCCAAAATATGTGTCGAATCTAAAAGTAAAATAGGAGGTGCACAATGGCCATATGTAATAAAGATTCTGTGAAAGGTTCATTAAATTTCACTCATTGCAGTGGTATAAGAGGAGTTGCAGATAATAAGAGCTGGGTACCCTAAAGCGTAACAGACAGACGGACATACATACAGATGGACGTACAGCTAGACGGACATACCGATTACAGTATACCCTACCACTTTTCAAGCGGAGGGTATAATAAAACTATATACATGTACATGTAGAATATTCACCTCTGATTTATAATGATATTTGTTTTATACACACTGACCATGTTTTATAATATTCTAAACAAACCATTTGATACTCAGGCAAATATTCACTACTGGTAAGATGATCACACACATGAGCATGTCTGTGTATGAATGAAATGAATTTTCCTTTTGATCATGTTCCTAGGAAAATGATTATTTTCATCATTTTTTCATCAAAGGATTTACCATATAAGATGAATAAAGAAAAAGTAAGACCAGTAAATCAAAACAGGACCAAATAGGCCATGACTGAAGTTCAAGTGCATTCTGCAAGAAAGTGGACAGCCTAGATTTTGTTCTTTTCAAGGTAACCATTCTTAAAATATGAAAGTAAATTAAGGACAGATGATACAAACAAAAAATGGATGCCTGGATTGATATATATTTTTTGGCATAATTAAATTGCAAATTAATGATGCTATTAATAAATTTCTAGAATATTAAGAAATTGTAAACCTTCTGTGATGTTCAAAAGTCTGCCCTCTTGAAACTATCCTTATTAATCTATACAAATATTTATCAATTCAAATTCCATTTTTATGCAAATATGAATTAAAAATTAAAAATTACTTGAAGAAAGTTATTAATTTTTCTGATTTAAACATGACCCAAGTTGTTATTTTCAAATTCTTTGACAAAAGTTTGTTTGTATCATCTGTCCTTAATTTGTTAAAAAATATTTCAGTTTTAAATCTAAATTTAAACCTTGCTTATTTCTTTTTTTTTAAACAAAATTTAATACCTGTACAGTAACGGAAGAATTATTATACTAAAATAAGGAAAACAACTTTCTAAAGGATTACATACACATTTAATTAGCTTGAAATCAGTGTATATTGGAAAGTGCAGGAATTATTTACCATTGCAGGTTGAGAAGGGATGCCATGTTTTAGGTTTGAAACCAGGCAAGTGAAAGCTGAATTCCAACCTACTTCAACATACTTGTACCCACTGTCTTCAAGATATAAGTGTTTGAGATGTCAAAGTTCAAATATAATAGGAACATGTTTATCATATTATGTGATGGCATCCTCAAATCTTATGCTGTATAACAAAATGTTTTAGAACTTATCAAGCTTTATCCTGTACCTTGCCAAAAAAACTCAACTCAGCATAATTCTAATTAACTAATTATCAGTGTTACTTGTGTATGTCAATGTAGGTCATTACTGGTACATGCCTGACCAACAAAAACTCTAAAATTGAAAAATCAGAGACAAGGTTTTCAGAGCAGCAGAAGCAGTAGAATTTGTCACGTAAATCTAATGATATGTACCGTAGTTGAGAATAAATGTACTCTAAATGTTGCATGTATAAAAAATAAAAAAAGCGAAAAGTTCTCTTGTTTTCAGAATTTATATTTACATGTGAGAAAAAAGAAAAGGAGATTGATATAGTTGGTGTGATGAGATGTTGGCAGGAACCTAGTAAAATGAAAGGAAGAACTTCCTTAAAATGATACTTGTGGGGGACAGTGTCTCGGGGAGAGGGGAGCATTGTTTCAACTGACTTTACAGAATACAAAAGATCCATTGCAAACCTAATTATTAATTATATGCCAAACACTATGTTTAAAGTTTTCCATTGTTGGATATTTATGTTTAAATCCAAGATAACTTACCCAAGAGGATGTGATTTTTTTTTTAAACCAATGTAATTTTTCTCAAGTTTAAAGCCGTGTTTCATAAGTTTCATAAAAAATCAGAAAGGGGGGGGGGTAAATTTTTGACTTTATTTAAAGTATCTGTGGTTTGCAGTTGCCTATGAATCTATGAATTAAATAAATGATTATACAAAGTAACAAGTTGAAATGAGTAAAATATTAGGAATGTCCTGCTTGTTTTAGTTTCATTTCAGAATTTTTCAAGATTGACCAAATCTTGAAAAAGTAAAAGCCACAAGGTTTTGCAATTATTTGACATAGCATTACAAAATGCATTATATTTTTGCAACATCATAAAGATGCAAATTTAAGATGCCCAAAAATTTATTTTACATTCACATTAAACTCATTACACAGGTTTTATAAAAGAGTAAATAAGTATTGTTTTGGGAATATTGTTACGTTAAATGCAGCCATTTTGTTTAAAAATCTGGTATTCCTGTCTCAATGGTAACAAATCTTGCATTCCTGTTTCCATAGTAATACAGAATGGATAGGGAAATTTTATTTCATATTAGTTTCAATCTAAGGGGATAGTTTCAGGAAACTTGAAACATGCCCTGGTTAGTCTACATGTACTTCAAAATTGTCAATTTTACGGGAAAGGGGGGGGAGCATTTTGTGCAGGTGTTCACATTTCTCCTATCTAAGAACATATTTACATGTATTAATGCTCTTTGAAATGGGATGTGAATATTTTTACATGACAATTCACCTAGATATGGACTAATATTACTGTAAATGACATCAAAACAGGTAGAAAGGAACATTTTTTTCTATATGAACTTAATGAAATGTGCATATGTTCCTTGAAATACGGAAATTTTGCAGATTTTGGGTAATTTTTCATCAGCTTTAAAAAAAAATTTTAAATGTCCCATAAATATTTTAATGTGTTTAAACTAACTTAAGTACCATCTATACAATGCACTGTTTCCTGAATTTCAAATCAGTGTGCAAAGTATTAAAAAATCGCTTTGAAAAAGGGTAAAGAATGGTAATTTTCTCAATTTGGTAAAATGCCAAAATCCCCAAAGCTAAGCGTTGTTAAGCCATTACGTAGAATTACAGTTTTTAAAAAATTATGTTGTTATACTAGAGAGGAATAATGGTAATTTTGAAACAAAAGTAGATTTTCCCATTCTCTTGTTTCTTTTAAGCTCATTTTTATTCAGTAAAACCTACAAAATCACGTTTTTGGTCAAATTTTAGGAAGAATTTAAAGGGAAACAATAGGTGCCGTTACCATGGCAACGAGACATTTTTTGAAATAAAAAATATAAAACCATTAATGATGTTACAATGTGAGTACACACAAAAAGTTTCATAGAAATTGAAAATGTAGCGTGGCCAAGCATTATTGATATCGTTTGATAATTACAGAGAATTGATATTAAAGTATGTCGCCATTTTTAACACAATGCATACAGAACAGTATAACTATACAAACATAAACAAAGTCAATATACCTAATCAGAGAACTGAACTTACTGAAGGGGCTGTCTTCTATAATTATATAAATATCTATTTAATATATTAATCCCTACTAAAATAAGACACCCATGGGCCACATCGCTCAGATGAGCACTGTTATAGGTAAAATCAAAATCAGTTCAGCATTCAAAAGTTTAAATTGAAAAGTTGTCCGAAACAGCCCCTTAAAGGGAGGGGATATGATATGAACAAAACTTAACACTGAACAATAACAAAGGATGCGTACATATTTCTTTAACTAAATTTTACTTTTTCCCACTGCATATTTGAATTTTCAATGTTTCTCCTACATGTAACTTCTACAGGTGGTTTTGAGCTGTTTTACTGTGTTGCCCCCGACACAGTAAAATTTTCTCCGACACAGTAACGACTCAAATTTAATGCATGCAACACAGTAAAAATTTTGCCGACACAGTAAAAGTTGTGATAATTAGAAAATCTAAACACATGAATTCTCTCTAACTGAAACTTTATTCAAACAATTCTACCGTCTTTTAATTCCAAAAGTTATAAACACTTAATTACTAGGGCTTCACCTTGAGTAATCAATCAATTATCTCCTAGACCCTCACTGGACTTTACGCATGTCAGAACAAAGACAAATAAATTCTTTTCACAATTCAATGCACCGGTTAATTGGTAGTTGCAATAAAATACATTGTATTATTTATGAAAAATATTTAAATATGTCTTTCCTATAGAGCCACGGCTCTAGAATTATGTGAACACTGTAAGTCAGACAATTTTAGACTTAGACTAAAGAGACAACAGAAATATTTATGGTAAAATAGTCAGAAAGAGTGGTAAAATGTTATGCACTTCTAAGAAAATTTTCCATAGTAAACCAAAATCTAATGATTTCAGAGGATGAATACAATCGTTTTATCCACTAAAATTGATAATAAGTTTGTTAATTGTCTTTTTTTATTAGTGTTATAAATTGTTTCGACGGAAGTATTATATATTTTTTTATATATATTAAAAATCAATTACATGTATTCATCTTAGAACCTATATCCCTATCTAAAATTTTGATTTTCCATTGAGGCCCTACCCTACCCCTTGTGATCAACATAAAATCAACACTACCCAATGTTGATTTTATATGAAAATTACTATTCATGGCTTTGCTGTTCTTCAGAATGTGACATATATATACTCCTATTTATAAGAGTAACAGGCTATTATGGCCCATTATAATCAGGAGATCTTGATTTGAACAAATTTATATCTTTACATTATACCTGAAGATTCTTCCAGAAAAAATATTACCAACCATTGTTATGCTAATCTTGAGAAGAAGATTTTTGAGGAATTAATCTATATACTCCTATGTAAAACTTTGATCGTCCATTGTGGCACCACCGTAGCCCTGCTGATCATGACTTTAAAAAAATCGTACACTACCAAATGATGTTTCAATATCAATATGATAATTCTTGCCTTGTCGTGTTTGAGAAGATTTTTCCTACACGTAAGACCTTTGATCGTCCATATCGGCCTAATCTTACCTTAGTAGCCAACATTTAAACAAGCTTGAATCTACAGTATATCAGGGTGTTTCTATATGAGTTTCATCTTTTCTGGCCCAGTGGTTCTTGAGAAGATTGTTTTTAAAGATGCAACTTTTTTCCCACTTTTTTCCCACTAAACTGTTTTAATCTTTAGGAAATCTTTAGGAATTTTCTAGAAATCGGGTGAAATATATGGAGATAACAAACAGTATTCAAGCTCTTAAGTCAATTTAACAATGCAAATTCAAAACTGACAAACACGGACCTCAAAACATTCAGTGGTGGAATCATGTGCCAGGGAGGAGTGAGATTGTCATGATCGACAAAGAACGGAAAAATCAGTCAACAATTGACTGTGTATATATTGGCGTAAAAATTAGTATGAAAAACGCCAGTCAGCATTTGACTCATTGATTAATTGAATTTGAAGACAAGGTCATTGTATCGACCATATAACTTACGAAATGTTGAGTTTAAAAGATACTGCTAATATTCTTGTTCAGCAACTTGTTTGTCAATAACTTGCCTGATTCAAAACAATACATGTGATGAAAGTATATTACTGCATACGCAAGGAAAGCTGACAATTGAAAAGTAAGAGTCATCTCGTTTGTCAAAAAGCTTGATTATTAGATTACCAATTATGTTTTTTTATATAAATTAACTAAGTATGAAACAGATGCGACAGCACCTGTGGTATCTTTTATTTTAAGCTCACTTTTATAGATCGTTTCGATATTAAAATGGAATTAACCATTGTTAATTTACAATACATCGTCGATATATGTAAATGTCAAATTGAAGACCACAGCAAACGTTTTCTTCCATTCACGCACAATGTACACTATTGTGAACAAATTCTGCTTCATCTCAATGCAAAAATAGGTAAACTAATAACGATTCCCGATTATACCCTTGGAAACTCAAAAAGATTTGTTGGAAGACCTGGTCTCCAAAAACCACACAGCGGTAGATATTGTCAATAAGAAAAAAATTACTGTTTTCCCTAAAATAATTTAACTAATGACCAATATCAAGGTAAGTAAATTAACGAGTTCCATTTTTATTAAAAAAAAAGGAGAATCCAATTATATTTTTTTAAAACCTGGACTGTTACAACGCACTTTGAAAAATTACGCACTTTGAAAAATATTTTCAAAGTGCGTTAAATTTGGGACCAAATCAACGCCCATTGAAAAAATAGAATTTCTTTTCAAAGTGAGTTAATGTCGACCATATTAACGCATTTTGAAAAAAATGTGTATGAGTTGGTCAATCTTAGGTATGATAAATAATTAATTGAAACTGTTTGATAACTTGTCGGTGATGAGGTCACTTCAATGCATGATATCTTAACTAAAATTTATTTATTTGAAAGTTTTCAACTTCATAATATCTATGTAAATACAAACATTTGGGTGTAGCATACGCATCAGTACCGATGTTGGTGGGGGGGGGGGGGGGGCTTAAAAGCCTATAGACACAAATGTTTTGAGATATACATAGTACTGGCTTTGAAAATTGGGGCTTATCTAAGGGAGGGGGTTGTCCACTTTCAATTTCCTACCGACGGCTATGTACATTGTATAAGAAAAAAATAGA